GGCAACAACAACAACGGCGGCGGCGGCGGCTGGGCCTAAGCATCTCTCATCGTCGTCTCGTGCATCGTCAATATCTACTTTGTCAATACAAGTCCTTTTCTTCTATCCATCTCGCTTCTACTCGACTTTGCCAGCTTCTACGCCTCGACTTTTGACGCTGCGAGCCAGTGTCGAGCTTTTGCCTTTGTCCAGCGCCTTTGCACTGCGTGTGGAGATACCACTTCGGAGGATATGACGTGTCCGGATACGCTTCGAAATCTTGGTGACATGATCCGGATACCACACGAGCGGCCTGTGGTAAAATTGCGTGGGTCTAGCCGCGAGTGGCGGGCGGGCGTTTATCCGGATCGTTTGACCATTGCGTTTATTTTCCACCAAGCGATCGAGCGACGATGAAGCGGACGCGCGTGGACGGCCATCTTTCCAAGGAGGAGTACGCGAGCTCGGAGGCGACGGCGGGCGGCGGTGGCAGCGGTGACCATGCGCTAGCCTCGGACGACGTCATGCGCAGCCGGCGCGTGGTCACGGCCCGGAGCACTGAGCGCAAGCGCCATGCCTATGCGCTCAACCAAAACTTCTACCAAGGCATCAAGCTGCAGCATGCGCAGAACGCCAAGGGCTCGTGGGTCGACAACATGGCTGAATACATGGCGTACGTACAAGAGATCGAAGGCCGGTACGGCGACAAGAGTGGCGTCATCATGACGTTTGGCAGCGGTGACTGCGGCCAGCTCGGCCATGGTGTCGACGAAGACGAGGACATGATCGTGTCCGTACCCCGCGTTGTCGCAGCCCTTTCCAAGCAACAGATCGTGCGCGTCGGCTGCGGCGGTCTGCACACGGCTGCTGTCACCAAGGACGGCGATGTCTACACGTGGGGCTGCAACGACGACGGCGCGCTGGGGCGTACCGGCGATGAGAACGCCCCCGCCCTCGTTACGGGCTTTCCCGCCAACACCTCCATTATCAATGTACGCTTCAACCCACGGGATTGCTCTTGTCTCATGGTGGACTTGCTTAGGTTGTCGGCGGTGACTGCCACTCGGTTGCTCTCGGCGTCGATGGCAGCGTCTTCATGTGGGGTTCGTACAAAGACAAGGAGGGCAAGCTGTGGTGCGACGCTGCGACGCCGAAAGAGACGTTCAAGAACAAGCAGGTATCATCTTATTTCCATAGATTGGTAGTACGAGGCGACAGGCTCATCGAGCACGCAACGTAGCTGACGCCGTTCAGCATTCCGGGCCTCTCGAACATTGTCGACATTGATTGCGGCAGTAGCTTCAACCTCGCGCGGGCCGCCGATGGCCACGTCTACTCGTGGGGTCTTGGTGAAATGGGCCAGCTCGGCCGCCCCGTCTCGGACAAGATCCGCGCGCCGTCGGGCGAGTACGACCTCCCGCTCGTCTTCAACCAGCACCTCAAGCCAGCGCTGGTCCTTTTGAACGGGAAGAAGCTCTTGTGCAAAGCGATTGGCTGCGGCTCGTACCACTCGCTCTTTATCGCAAGCGAGACGGGCGGCATCTACGCGACGGGCTTGAACAACTATGGCCAGCTCGGCCTCGGGCACGACGCCAACCAGATCGAGCCGCAGCTCGTCGAGGCGCTGAGCCACAAGGTTGGACAGGCGGTCGCGGCCGGCACGCACAACTCGCTCGTGCTCATGGCCGACGGCACCATGTATTCGTTTGGGCGCGCCGACTCGGGCCAGCTCGGTACGATCGACAACCCCGAGACGGGCGCAATGAAGGAGTCGCCTCAAGAAATCATCGTCAAGGCCAAGGGCGGTCGCGTCTACTTTGCCAAGATCTCGTGCGGCTCCAACCACTCGCTCGCCGTGACGTCCGAGAACGACGTGTACGCGTGGGGCTATGGCGACATGTGTGCGCTCGGCACAGGCGACGACAAGGACGAGTACAAGCCGCGTCTTCTTGATTGGACAAAACCAAGTTTGGGCCCGCGCGCATGCTCCAAGTAAACGCTGGTGGCCAACACAGCGCGATTGTCGCGCTCAAGGACTAATGTAATCAAGCCAACGAAACGATCCTTGGGATTTGTATATGTACATCGAACTGGGTTGCATGTCATTAGTTAATTAGTTGTTGCGACGTCTACAATGGCAGTCTGCGCTGAACGATCGATCCGTGCACAAGTTGTCTGGCAGTGGCTCGCAATCTGGGCCGGATTTGATTGGCCTCTTTTTGGCCAATCCGAGCTCAGTCCCGTTTCACAATTCGAATTCGAGAAGCATGAGCCAGCCAAGCAGCAGCAGAACCCGGCCGACTGCGCCGAGCCCGTGTGCCACTCCAAGGCAGACCTCTTCCGCTCCAACGTGCTCTTTGGCGCCAAGCCCAAGGCGGCGCCGGCCGATGACTGCCCGCTGGACCGCGAAGAAGTGGGTCGCGCGACGTGGGGCATGGTACAACGCTACGAGGAGGATGGCAGGAGGATGATGATGATGATGGCACATGCTACTAGCTGCACACAATGGCCGCGTACTACCCCGAGACGCCGTCGGATGCCATGAAGCAGCACGCGACCAACTTCATCCAGGCGCTCGGGCAGCTCTACCCGTGCAAGTACTGCGCGACGGACTTTGCCGACAACATTGTCGCGAGCCCGCCCAAGTACACTAGACCGTCGTCTATGCGTCATGCAGTTTCATGCCGTCTCTCGTGTAGGGTCGACTCGCGCGTCGACTTGTCTGTCTGGCTCTGCGAGCAGCACAACATTGTGTCCAAGAAGCTGCAAAAGAAGCCTTTTCCGTGCACGATCGCGGCCCTCGACAAGCGATGGAAGGTCGGTGCGCCATCCTGCTACGGCAAGGACGAACCTCAAGCGGCCAAGCTCGGTCATTAATACAACGACGACCTCGTCTTTTTCCTCCAACCGGATCGCGTCTTTCATCGGTCGATATCATTACATCTTAGCTGATCGTGCACCACGACGCCGGCGCCGGCGCGTCCTTGGCCTCGATCGTCGTATTCGTCGACGCCTTGGCCGCGGTGCGGGCTTCCTTGAACAGCGGGAACGTCGTGATCGCCACGGTCTCGTCCTTGGCCGTCGGCACCGCTTCGAGCGGCTGCGTCAAGAAGACGTACACTTCGCGGTCATTTTCGCGATAGACGCGCGCAATCTCGACGTCCGGGAAGAGCTCTTCCATCTTGACCGAGGCCAGGCTCGTCGGGTGCGTGACGACGTACACGTGGCGGCGGTCAAGCTCTTGGTCGACATCCTGCAGGTCCAGAAAGGCACCTTGCTCGAGCACCATAAGGTTGATGCGGTTCTTGTACGGCGCGAGGTCGGTGGCATCGGCCGCCAGCGGCAGCGACTCGAGCGACCACTTGTTGGCGCTCGCTGACGTGAAACCGAGGTACGCGATGGCCGTCATGAGTGCGTCAAAGCCGGCTTCGTGGCACGGCATGTTCTTTCCATCGTCCGACTTAGTCAGCGCCGCGTGGTACGGGTCCGCGGCGCCGTCCGTGATGAGCGACGCGACGTCGGGCTGCAGCGTATCGCGCATCTTCTCAAAGACGGCCGAGAGCGATGTCGACTCGAACGACTCGCGGAGCGGACTCGTGAGCGCCATGTGCTTGGTATCATAGACCGTCGGAAAGTGCGTCTGGAGCTCCGACTTGAACTCGCAGAGCGTCGCCGGCAAGGGGGCGCAGAACTGATGGTACAAGTACACGAAATCGAGGAGGCAGTTGTGGCCAATGATGGGCTTCTTCGCATCCGAGAGGAGCTGGATGACCTTGGAGAAGCCGACGGCGTCCTCGACCTCTTGGTTCATCGTGTCGATTTTGCGCTTGAGCCGGTTCTCGCGCTCCGACTGGTCGGCGCGGACGAGGAGGACGCCGTCGCCCGTCGACTCGGTGTAAATCATGTCGGCGAATTTCGAGAGGATGCCATACTTGGCCGCGTGGAAGATGAGGAGGCGGCGGAACGAGTTGCGCGCGGGCAGGAAAAGCTCCTTGTTGTCGTCGGACGGCGGCGCCGTGATCCACGCCTCAATCGTGGCGATCGTCTCCTTGAGGAAGTCTTGGTCAAAGCGCTTGGTGACGCTCACTTTCGATGGCGGCGACTTGGTCACGTTCTTGAGGCTGCGCGCGTGGTTCTTGCGCACATAGGCTTCGTTGGACCGCGTCATGTACGGGATGCCATCGCGGATGAACTTGTTAAAGTCAAAGCCATGCTCCGACATGAACTGGATCGACGATGCTTGGCACAAGAAGCGCGTGTCCATGTTGGCGTACGGCCGCGGAAACACGTAAAAGTTGAAGCACTTGATCCACGTCTTGTCGTCCTCGACGTGGACGAGCGCGAGGCCAAACTGCGTGATGAGAAAGTTCTCGCCCGACGCGCGGACCTTGGCATACCGCTCCTCGAGCGTGTCGATGACCTTCTCTCTCGTCTTCTCGTGGGGCGTGAGGCCCGTAAACTCCGTGTCAATGGCCGCGTACTGGCACGAGGGCAGGCGCAGCTGGGCCTCGACCTCGGCGAGGGCGGCGCTGAAGTTGTGGCGGGTCACTTCCATCGCGCTAAGATCTGAGATGACGTGTACGCTTGCAGCGAGGCGCGGACGGGCCAGCAGAAGCGGATTTTGCAGCACCCGGCGACTTCGAAGCATCTTGGAACCTTCACGTGCCAATCACCTTTGCACGACACTGTTCAAAATCGCCTTGGCTTTTGTATTCTTCGCGTGTATTTTTATTCCATTCCAAGATCTTCCATGATTGGTGGAAATGCGATCCTCTGCCGCCACAGGATTGGCCGATTGACAGCACTCAGGACGACAAGCAGTTGCTGGACCACTCCATGCGGCCAGGATCATGATGACCAGCTTGACCAAGGGCGAGCATGCTGGCGGAGGCAGACGAGATGATACGTACTAGCATACGTGTAGCCTACACGTATCACCTCCTACACGGTGTAGGAGGTAATAGCAAGGACGAGGATGTGGCTGCAGCCTTGCAATGCTCTCTGACGTTAGATTTGGACCTAGTTTCGTGCTTTGATCTGTCTTTCACAAACGATTGCTGCGGCATATGAGGGCACGGGCAGCGTAGGCGATCCAACCACGCACAAGTTATGCTACGGTGACTGCCGGAAAGCGACCTTGGCTGCTGCATGTGTCAGTACAAGAGGAGATAAAAGAATAAGGCAAAATGATTTATCTCAATATACTCTTTCAAGGCCAAAGGACTAGAGCAACACTACGCAGATTGCATTTACTTCTTCTTGCCGCCCTTGCCGGCAGCCTCCTTCTTGACGACGCCGTGGATGACACCGACGGCGACCGTCTGGCGCATATCACGGACGGCGAAACGACCGAGGGGCGGGTACTCCTGGAACGACTCGACCGTCATGGGCTTCGTGGGCTCGAGGATGACCATGCAGGCATCACCCGACTTGACGAACTTGGGGTTCTCTTCGAGGACCTTACCCGAACGGCGATCCATCTTCTGCGTGATCTCCTTGAACTTGCAGGCGACGTGGGCCGTGTGGCAATCAAGCACCGGCGAGTAGCCGTTGCCGATCTGGCCGGGGTGGTTGAGGACAATCACCTGGGCGGTGAAGTTCTCCGTGCCCTTGGCGGGGTCGTTCTTCGAGTCCGAAGCGACGTAACCACGGCGGAGTTCCTTGACCGACACGTTCTTGACGTTGAAGCCGACGTTGTCACCCGGGACAGCCTCGGGGAGCGACTCGTGGTGCATCTCGACCGACTTGACTTCCGTCTGGAGGCCGACGGGGCCGAACTGGACGACCATGCCGGGCTTGAGGACACCCGTCTCGACACGGCCGACCGGGACCGTGCCAATACCGCCAATCTTGTAAACATCCTGGAGCGGGAGGCGGAGGGCCTTGTCGGTGGGGCGCTTGGGGGGTTGAGGTTGTCAAGCGCTTCGAGGAGGCACGGGCCCTTGTACCAGGGCATGTTGCCGGACTTCTCGATCATGTTGTCGCCCTCCCAGCCCGAGATCGGGACGAACGGGACCTTGGCGGGCTTGTAGCCGACCTTCTTGAGGTAGTTCGAGACTTCCTCCTTGATTTCCTCGTAACGGGCCTGGCCGTACATGACCGACGAGTCGTCCATCTTGTTGATGGCGACGATCATCTGGCGCACGCCGAGCGTGAAGGCGAGGAGCGCGTGCTCGCGCGTCTGGCCTCCTTCGAGATACCGGCCTCGAACTCACCGACGCCCGAGGCGACGACAAGGATGGCGCAATCGGCCTGCGAGGTACCCGTGATCATGTTCTTGATGAAATCGCGGTGACCCGGGGCATCAATGACCGTGAAGAAGTACTTGGGCGACTCGAACTTCCAGAGGGCAATGTCGATCGTGATACCACGTTCGCGCTCGGCCTTGAGGTTGTCAAGGACCCAGGCGTACTTGAACGACGACTTGCCGAGCTCGAGGGCTTCCTTCTCGAACTTCTCGATCGTACGCTTGTCGATACCGCCGCACTTGTAGATCAAGTGACCGGTCGTCGTCGACTTACCGGCATCGACGTGACCGATGACGACGAGCGAGATGTGGATCTTTTCCTTGGGCATCTTGTGGGTTCTTCAAAGGGAAATTGAGAATGAGCTCCTCGAGGCTGCGGGCGCCCGCAGCCGCAAATCAATGGATGGCGTCGCCTCCACTTCTTTTACCCCGACCCCTGCAGCCAATCCACGACCGCCATCGTGGTGGGCCTCGCCCTTGGATTGGCCAAAATAAATTCGAAGCCGGCCTCCACCAATCACAACGTCGCCGCCCGCCATTCAGCGAGTGGTGAAAACGCCATTTTAATGCGCGCCGCGTATCCGGACAAGTGACGGATACGGCGGTCGGCCAACTTCAACGTCGCTTGTGCATGGCCACGACGACACGCAGTTGGACCGAGGAGTGAGGCGGAGATGCTTTGTCGACGACGGACGAGATACAACGCGTCGCATGCGTGCTGGAGCTATCGGCACGATGGCTTCGTTTGTTGTGCTGTAGAGAAAGGCCAATGGACGTAGTACCGCGTATTCTTTTATAGCTATAGCCGAGCCATCTCTCGCACATTGTTCGCTTGGATGCATGGCTTGGATGGGTCGATTTGTGGGGTTTCGCGCGTGTTTGAGAGGCGTGGACTACGACGAGATGCTCGTTTGTGATGCTACTATGCTCGGACTCTTGTTAGCCTCGACCCGAATGAGACTCCTGCATCACCGAGAAAAGGCATTGCTCCGCCCGACTAACGTTAGTATCGGGCCGTTCCGCATCTTGACACGCATAACGTTTTAGCCTTTCCAGTCGAAGACGGGTGTATGTTCCGGATCAAGGGGCCAGCGAGTGCTTATGTGGCAACGGCAAGGTGAAGAGATCTCTGCGGCCTCTTGATGCTCCGGTTGGAGACGGCTTTCAGAAGGGCTGACAAGTGCGCCATCTTTTAAGGTACACAAATCAACTTGAACACAGGAGGGTTTCTAGCGTCGATAGCGCATCGCGAGTCCACGCACCAGTACTTCGTGGGCGACGAAGGCCTCCTCCAAAACTTTTACGGTCCGTGTCGCTAGACACTTGCGCTTTGTACGTTTGACCTCGGAGGACACTCAACACACGCAGTAGATACCTTGAACAACGTATTGACGCTACGATGAAACGGGGTCATTCTTGTCTTCTTATTCATTCAATGTCAGGTTGACTAGAGGTCGCACCGAGTGGGATGAAGCAACACAGTACTGGCATCGGGACGTTAGCAATGCTATACGGCACCACAGATCAGTACTCCAAGGACCCACATCGCTCAGTGGGCTTCAGTCGCGTCGTTGTGCGCCTCTGGCTCCACCGAGGTCATGCTAACGTTAGCTTGACGTTATCGTGCGCCGGTAGATGTCGAGGTAGTCAGGTCAGGGGATTCTTGCATTTGACCATAACAAGATATGATTCTATCCTTCGTATAGAGTTTCAGGGAGCGGACGCTACATTCATGTACCTGGCAGAGGATCTGGTAGGGCTCTTTGATGCCCTAAATATGTGTGTTGGCTACTGGGATCTTGTTGGACATGCGAGCCCTCCATGTTCATGTTCATGGTTTCGAGACTATTTAAGCGCCAGGTTGTCACTTCGACACGCCTTGCACGGATGAGATAGCGCGTTTTCCAGTTGGGAAGCAACCACTGGGTATGTCTCGTCGTCTCGTGGTCGTGGCTCACCCCTCCTCCTATGTACGTACAAGCGCTGGCTGCATCAATGAACAACACATTCAATCTGTTGAAATCTTGGACTTGAATGGCTCCGGGTATCACTACCTACATCATTGCAAGTGGAAGGTCGCGGTCAGTCTTGTCCCCAAATCTCATGGTCTCGAAGGCTTTATGGACCCATCCCTGTTAGTAGGCAACAGCAGTAGTTGGCAGAGTAGTAGGGCCTTTTCCGACCAAGGACTGGTATGGCGATCTGACGACGCCGCCCTGTCGCGGAGGTGCCCATGTCGCAAGCAACGAGTTATTACATGGCAGGCGGCGGTGCACAATGTGCTCGAAAGCCAGCTTGCCGTGTAGACAGTGCATGTCCCAGTACCGATCTTTCCACATGTATTTTGATACCAGTTTCGAGCGCGTATCGTATATTTTGTGAGCCATCACCACATCCTACTCTTTAATGGTATCTCATGCTTTGATGGCCGCCCGCGCCTCGCGATCTTTCCCCATTTTGCCTCGGATTTTCGAACCGACCAATCACATTCAAACGACCCAATCTTCCACCACGTGCTTTCCCATCAAAAGCTCTAGCCAATCCATGGCACCTTCAAGCACGTTTCGGCCTTCTGATTGGCGTATGACGGGGTGTGTACCATTTCAAGCGAAATTTCCACCAATCATAGTTCTTTCTCTCGAATGTGAGGCGCTGGCGGTGGTTTAAAAGTTTGAAAAAACTTCGAACGTCAAACCGCAAAAGAGCAGCAGCCGAGCATGAGCACCCGCAGTGGCCGTACGATCGCCAAGGTCCAGCGCTTCGACCCGACGTCGACGGGATCGCCGAGCGCATCGGCGTCCGAGTCGGAGGAGGAGTCCCCGAAGAAGCCCAAGAAGGCTGCTGCCAAGAAGGCCAAGGTCCCCGCGTCCAAGGCCGCCAAGGGCATGAAGCGCAAGGCTGGCAAGGAGAACGAGGATGGTACGCCCAAGGAGAAGCGCCCGCAGACTGCGTACTTCCTCTTCATGGCCGAGGAGCGCCCGGCCCTCAAGGCTGAACACCCCGGCTTTAACATCAAGGAAGTTGCCGTCGAGCTCGGCGCCCGATGGAAGAAGCTCCCGGCGGCCAAGAAGGAGGTCCGTTTCCTGCCTCTTCTGTCCATGTGCTCACGAGGATGGTGCGATTAGAAATTCCAAGCCGAGGCCAAGAAGCTTAGCGACGCATACAAGGCCAAGAAGGGTGAGACGGTTGAGAAGGTCAAGAAGGCCAAGAAGTAAGACGACTTGCGGTCGCCCCCGCCACAACGGCGTCGTTTTCGTTTGTATTTCCACCTATTTCCCGAATAGTGTATGTATTTGATCACGAGCCGTGGCGGCTATCGTTTAAGATCGTCCGCAGCGACGGCGCGAGCGTGCGCTCGCCCGTTACCAGCGAGTTGTGCTTGAAGATGTGCCCCCGCGGCTCCGAGTCGCCCATGATGACGCCCCACTCGCCACGGTTCAGATTGCGCTGCGTGCGCTCGTGCTGGACGCCGTACCGCAGCTGCCGCCCGACCTCGCCTTTGAGGAAGCGTGCCAATGATGTACCGGCCCGCCTCGTCGTCCGAGCTGCTCGACTCGGAAAAGTACGGGTCCAGCGCCGAAAAGTACGGGTCCAGCGCATACGGGTCCGTGCATGGCGCGCCGATCGACGGGCGGCGCGCAAGTTCGACCACTGTAGCTCGTTTCGTTTTGGTCTTGACCTTGTCTGGCTTCTCCTACGCACCATACCCTCGTGCAACAGCGGTACGACGGAATCGCAGCAGCGTACGCTCTGTTGATCATGCGCGTGCTGGACGAGCTGGGCGCAGAAGGCGCAGACCTTCACGCAGTCGTAGCAGGCCGGTGGCCGTGCGATGCTTGGGTTGAGCTCCTTTAGGCTCGCATCCCAGTGTCGCCGAAGGTCCATAATAATCTTGTACGGAATATCGAGCACGAGGTTGCCTTTTGGAAAGACGGCCAAGCACAATTGCACGCGACGGGCACGCGCTCGTCCGGCCCGACGACCGGCGGCTTGCCAAACTGCTGGAAGTACTTAGCTCTCTCAAACGTCTCTTGGGCCTTGAGGTCGACGTGCATCTCGAGGAGCTGCCGACGGAGTCGGTACACGCGCTTGTGCTCTGGAATCCACTTTTCGCGCGAACCGGCATTGGCGTCATCGTCCTTGGACTCGGGCGCGATCGACTTGTCGTCGTGTAGCGTCACGATCTGCGGCAACGTAAAGATACCGGTCGTCGTTGCGACCTGGGAGAGGCGCCGAATGCGTTCCAAGGCTGGACTTATAGGCGCTGGCACGGTGCTTTCCTCGACACTACTACTGCGCTTACCAACGCCCTTGACCTTGCGGCTCGGTAGCGACGCCGCGCTGGCTCGCGCTGGCTTGAGCGTCGAGAGAGAGGCCGAGGCGCGAGCGAGGCGCGTCGCCCGCTTCTCTTCGTCCTGATTGTTGCTACTGTTGTTGTTGCTGTCGCTGTTACGATTGTCGTTGTTGTTGTTGTTGCTGTCGACCTTGGTGTTGTTGTACGTGGGCAGCTGCGGTGTCGACGCTGCGAAGGCCGACTTTGGTCGCAAGCCTCCAGCGACTTGGACAAGCACGGGGCCTTTGGCCCGCCGCCGCTTCTCGCGCTCCGAAATCGCAAACTCCACAAGGACATGCAAGAAGGACGGCGGCTTCTCGCGATACAAGCTGTCCTGGAGCGCGGGAAGCCCCGCCGCGTCAAGCATGTGGTACCAGACGCTGGCCGATGGCGGCGGCCGCTCGAGGCTCTGGAGCTCCTGCACAAAGGCGCAGTGGGTGGTGTGGAGGCCCGACGCTTTGAGAAAGTCCTGCACAAGCAAGAGCACAAAGGCGCCAACGTCGTGGTCGTCCGTCATGCTTGGTGGCCACGAGGTTGAAACCAGGTCGAAACCGATTGGTGACGTGGCTAATCGCACGCAACCAACGTCCCCGCGACGGCATTTGAGCCGCCGGCTGGGTGCCGCTACCTACCAGTAGTGGGCAGCAGTAACCAGCAGAATGCGATCCTTTGTACCCGCGGAATTTGCCCTCCGGTCGCATTCTGTGGTGGTCTGCGAGGTGCATTTGGTTTGGTGCCACGAGGTGCGTGTTCGAAACCGCCGCTGCCTTTCTTTGAAGGTCGTATGCCGGACGCACCCATCGCGCGCCCGCTCTCGGGCAAGATGCGATCGATTCAAGGCACGCGCGGCTGTCTTCTCTTAGCGACGATTGAGCCTGTCGAGCGACAGAGGGCAGAAGGCCGGTGCGTCGCGCCCATATTGCCTCTCACAACAGATGTAGCGTGTAGTGTCAAGGGGATGGGGCGCGGTGTGAGCGACAGCCGACTCGAAGAAGCGAAACAGCTCATTGAAGAGAATCGCCGACTCGGCACGACCGATAAGCTCTTGCTCTTCGTACTCGACGCCAAGGCGGTCTTTCGCAACGGTGGTTTTGGGCTTTCGCGCGGTGACGTGATCCTCAAGCGCATTGCAGCACTGGCAGACGCACCAGATAAGCGGACGCTGGACCTCTCCAACATTGGTCTCTGTGACGCCTTGGTGACCTCGCTTCTCGCGTATCTTGTGACCCCGTCGTGTCCCGTCGTGGTCCTCAAGTACGTATTGCGCTACACATCATGATCTCATGTATCGTACTGCACAGCGTCGCCAACACCAAGCTCGTGCCGGCACAGATTGTGCGGCTCGCCAAGGCATGCTCGTCGCGCCTCGAGTCGTTCCAGGCCTCGCGCCTCGTCCTCCTCACGTCACGATTGAAGGCGAAGCGCGTGGACTGGCGCGGCTCGGGCGGTGACCACATGGATCTCGCTGCGATAGGAGCGCTTCTGGAGGCGCGCTGCAAAGTCTCTGTCCAAGTATGTAGAATCCAAACTGTGTTGTGGATGCAGCTCGATCGACACTTGCGATAGGTGCTCGACCTCT